ATAATTCTAAACTTCGCACAAAGAAAAACTGAGAATAATTAAGATAATCCTTTACAATAAAAGAAATTCTGAAGGCATCTCCATACCTTACTTCAAGCTATACTACAGAGCAATAGTAATAAAAACTGTCATAGAAATAGGCTGGTTGATCACTTGAATAGAAGCAAAGACCCATAAATAGACCCACACACAGAGAGACACTTGATTTTTTTAGTTTAATGTTAATTTTATTTTATTTTATTTTAACTTTTTTATTTTTTATTAATTACACTTTATTCATTTTGTATCCCCCCATAAGCTCCTCTCTCCTCCCCTCCCGATCCCACCCTCCCTCCCCTTTCTGCATGCATGCCCCTCCCCAAGTCCGCTGATAGGGGAGGTTCTCCTCTCCTTTCTGATCTTAGTCTATCAGTTCTCATCAAAAGTGGCTGCATTGTCCTTTTTTGTGGCCAGGTAAGGCTGCTCCAAAGGAGCCAAAATCTTTCAATGGAAAAAAGCAGCATCTTCAGCAAATGGTGCTGATCTAATTTGATGTCTACATTTAGAAAAATGCAAATAGGGGTTGCAGATATGGCTCAGCCATTAAAGGCTAGGCTCACAACCCAAAATATAAGAAAAATGCAAATAGATCCATATTTATCTCAATGCACAAAACTCAAATACCAGTGGATCAAAGACCTCAATATAACACCAGATCCACTATGTCTATTAGACGAGAAAGTGGGGAAGGGCCTCAAACTCCTTGACACAAGAGAAAATTACTGAAACAAACACCAGTAACTCAGGCTCAAAATCAACACTTAATAAATTGGACCTCTTGTAACTGAGACCTCTGCCCCTGCCCCTGCCCTTGCCCCTGCCCCTGCCCCTGTCCCTGCCTCTGCTGATTAAAGGCCTGCACCACCATACCCAGCTCATAAGTTCTCAAAATGGCAGAGAAACAGTAATAGGAGGGTTTTTTTAAATTTAAATTTGTTTTGTTTTAACAATTTATTCATTGTGTTTACTGACTGAAGCCCCCTCCATCAACTCCTCCCAATCCCACACTTCCTTTCTCTTCCCCCCTATTGCCTTCCCCTAGTCCACTGATTGGGAGAATTTTCTGCCTTTGTCATTTGCCTATAGCTTTAATTATCAGGACTGCCTGGATCTTCTTCCTCTGTGGCCTGGCAAGACAGCATCATCAGGGGCATGTGATCAAAGAGCAGGCAACTGGGTTTATGACATAGGTAGTCCTTGCTCCCATTACTCTGTGATCCACATGTAGACTGAGGTGATAATCGACCACATCTAATGAGGGGTAACAGGTTGTCTCCATACATGATCCTCCGTTGGTGCATCAGTCTTTTCAGGACCCCGTGGCTCAGATTTTTTAGCTTTGTTTGTCTCCTTGTGGGGCTTCTGTCCACTTCATGTCCTACTATCTCCCCACACCACTTCTTTCACAGTACTTGCTGTGCTCTGCCCCAAGTATGGCTGTTAGTCCCAGCATCTACTTCTATCCCCTGTTGTGTGGAGAGTTTCATGGGCCCCTCTATAGTAGCCTCCCATTCTGTTTCCTCTCTTCCACCACTTCTGGTGTCTATCCTGTTTGCCATTTTTAATAAGATTTAAGCATCCTCTCCAGGGTCCTCCTCGTTGTTTACCTTCTTTAGGTTTGTAGATTTTAGTATGGCTATCCTATAATATGTGGCTAATATCTGCTAATAAGTGAGCATATACCATGCGTGTCTTACAGTTTCTGGGTTACCTCACTCAGGATGATCTTTTCTAGTTTCATCCATTTGCCAGCAAATTTCATGATTTTCTCGTTTTTAATAGCTGAATAGTGGGGTTTTTTTTGTGTAAACTACCACCATTTCTGTGTCCATTCTTCAGTTGAGGGATATCTAGGTTGTTTCCACATTTTGGCTATTGCAAACAAAGCTGCTATGAACATAGTTGTACAAATATCCTTGTTGAATGGTGACACATCTTTTGGGTATATCCCCAGGACTGGAATAGCTGCATCTTGAGATAGTGTTAGTCCCATTTTTTTTTTTGAGAAAGCTCCAGATTAATTATCAATCTCAACAACAACAGCAATAGTAAAAAGCCTACAGACACAAGGAAACTGAACAACTCTCTACTCAATGACACCTAGGTCAGGGAAGAAATAAAGAAAGAACTTAAAGGCTTCTTAGAATTCATTGAAAACAAAGTCACAACTTACCCAGACTTATGGTCCACAATAAAAGCATTGCTAAGAGGAAAGTTCATAATACTGGGAAGGTTCTTAAAAACATAGATTATTTGAGAAAAAAACCCTCATTTTTAAATGATATTACCTACTGTTGTTTTCATTGACATGAGCAATTTGGTATGGCATTATTAGCAAGTGAAAGTAACAGAATAAGTTTCTATGCTGAGTAGTTTTGAGAAGCATCATGAAAATTTTTCTACTACCCTGATCTAGTATATGAATGAGAACCTTCCATCCAAGACAAAAAAGCACATACAATTATAGACATTAAAACTCATATACATAAGCTAATCAAGAATTTTAAGATTACATCATTTCTTTAATTTGCCCTGAGCTTGCTTCTTCTTTTCTCTGAATTAAATCTATTTCCACAGTTACTATTTCTGCCTCTAAAATCTGTTGTTGTTTTTTTCTTTAGCTTCTTAGTGTTGTGGTAGGGTTGCAGTGCTCAAAATGTTATTTAAAACTACTTAGGCCACATAGCTGGACTCTTCTTTTATGAGCTCAATACTTAAGATAATGAATTTATTCTAATCTACATTCCAGCATGTGGCTGTTACCTGAGTTCAGGTAACAGCATCTGTCTTCACATATTGCTGAATGAACCTTCTGCTTCTGTCTCCATTCTAGAATCTTCTTTGCCTACTGGATGTCCCACCTCCTATTTCCTGTCTAAGCTATAGTCATCATATTTATAATTGACAGGTGCTACGTCCATACAATATATACTATATTTCTTCTATGTCATAGGCTTTTTCTTTACTCTTTCTTAATTTCTTTCATTCATCCTTCCTTCTTTTTTCCCTCTCTTTCTTTATCTTTCCTTCCTATAATTGAGTCAAAGGATTTCTTCACTTGATGACACTCCCATAGAATCTTTAATACCTACATATGTCCCTCTTCAAATCTCTACGATATTCATTTCTCTCGCAACTCTTTGCTTCTCTAAGCATCCAGTCAAATGAATTTTGGGCTCCCTGCCCTTTATCCATGGTATGCATGAAAAACAGTTATGTCTGTGCTCAACAAACCATAGATATTTTTAAAAAAACTACCTGGAGTTAAGAATAGATATTATTATGGTTGGTTATAACATCAACTTGCCATGAATCAAAATACTTTAGTAGAGAGCCTTTCCTGAATAAGTATCCTGCCTTGGTTAATGTGAATTTAATCAATCATGAATTGTTTCAACTTCCTGTAGTAATTCAAATAAAATATGGTGTGACAGAAGATAGTTCTTCTATTTGTACATTTGATCTTCTTCTTTCCCACTCAGGTAATTTGCCCCATTTCTGCTGTTGATTCTTTCCCTGATAGCACAACCAAGGTTTCCAGGATGTCATTGTAGACTAGGCACCAACAAATCTCCAGGGACACTCCAGGCTTCTGCTACCTGATTGGGAATGCTCAGCCACCCAGCCTTGTGGATGGGACAACTAAATGTCACCACATACACATGTGCCTGATGACACAGCCATAGTTGGACTACATTGGCTGTACAGGTACCCATCACAAGCACCTTGCAACCACTGGGTTCTTGGATTCTCTTAGGTGTGATTTTGTTGTTCCTGTAGTAATACTGAGTTAATAAATTCATATGCTCATTTAATTTACTGGGAGAGGCTTTGAGACATTTAAATGAGCTCTAGATATTTTCCCAGTCACTAGCTTAAAATTTAGTTAACAGTATATATTAATTGATATTGCATTATATGTACAAGCAAAAAAATCTTAAGTACATTATTCAACAATTTTAGTAAGAATAGGAAGAAAAATCCATTGTATGGTAATATAATATTATCAAACAATAAAACTCAACAAAATTCAGACCTTATTAAGTAGATGAGAATATATTCTTCCCTCTTTTCTATCTCTTAACTTAATTGTCAATTCTGATTCCCTTCAAAACTTATCTAGAGTTTTTCTTTTTTTAAAATTGTTTATTTAACTTTTATTAATTATACTTTATTCATTTTGTATCCCCCCATAAGCTCCTCCCTCCGCCCCTCCCGGTCCCACCCTCCCCCCTTTCTGTATGCATGCCCCTCCCTAAGTCCACTGATAGGGGAGGTCCTCCTCTCCTTCTTTCTGATCTTAGTCTATCAGTTCTCATCAGAAGTGGCTGCATTGTCAGGGTTCTAGGTTATCTCCATGGATAGTCCTTGGTTCGAGTATGAGTCTCTGGGCAGTTCCCTTTGTTCAAATTTTCTTGTTCTGTTGCTCTCCTTGTGGAGTTCCTGTCCTCTCCAGCAAGTTAAAGATTCTAATATTCCTCAAACATGTTAGACTCAGAATAAGTTGACCTTTTATTGTACGAATAAGAAATATGAAGATTCTTAATGTTTCTGGACCCGAAATTTAATTGTAGACTATGAAGAAAAATGTGCACTACACATTACTCTTTGTAGACATTTTTCTATACCACAAAGAACCATAATTTATATCAGTAGTGTATATTACTAATACTAAGTAGGATTCAAACAATTTAATTTGAAAATTGAAATCATTTATTAATCTCATTGTTATTAATCAAGGCATATTTTACTCCTTTTTCCTTAATTTATTGATTTATTTTATTGACGAAAACACAGAAACATCAATATTGATTTTACAACATGCCTTTTACTTAATAGATTTTTATGTTTATGCAAGCACTGGATAGAATTTTATTCATTTATATCCCAGATAAACTTCAAGGGAAATTTTTTCATGTCCCTCTTAAATATCATGTCAAATCTTTCATTCTGATCCACAGTCAGATGGTTTTTCCAGTCTCCAGTGGCACCTAATAGGATAAGCACAGGAACAGCACAAAGGTAAGTAAATGGAACTGTCAAAGCAAAACTCAGACTAATCTACTTCAGTATCTTCTCCAACCCATGCAAAATAACTGATTTTTTTTTTTGGCAGAGGTTGTTAACTCTTCTTTGTAGAAGAATTATCAGTGAAAGAAATGTATTCAATAACACAATAAATTCACTAACAGGTCACTGGCCCATGTATCAGCCAACCAATCATTAAACAAGCTTTACATGAAACCTAACATTAATAAATATAAATACATGAGGATTTTGAAGTGTATTTCATTATATGTAACATATATCATATGGCTGTGGTTATACATGCAATAGTTTGAGGCATCTATTTTATCCTCTTGATCTACATGCCTCTCTTGTGCCAGTGCTACACTGGTGTATCATTCTACCTCGATTACATATTTTGAAATATGGAATGGAAATCCTCCAGCATTTGTTTGTCATGATTGCTTTGAATGTTCTGATAATCCAGTAACTTTAAGATGGCCTTTATTTCTATATTTCTGAGAAGAATGTTGTGGGCATTTTGATTGGAATTGAATTGGATGGATAAATTGCTTTTGGTAAAGTCATCATTTTCTCTATATTAAATCTTCTAATCCATAAACATCAGAAGACTATTTTTAACATCTTTGAACTTGAAAAACTCAAAGAAGTTTAAACTCAGATTTAAGCTTTTAATTGAAGAGATCTTTCACCGACTTGGTTAGGTTCAGCTTCTTTGTTAGGTTTATTCCAAGATATCTTATTGCCTTTGAAGCTTCTGTAAATGAGATTATATCCATAATCTGTTTTCTGGGATGTTTTCTGATGTCACTGATTTTTGAAAGTTGGTTTTGTATCCTTAAACTCTGCTGAAATTTTTTCTACAGGCATTCTGGTAGAAATTTTAAATTCTCTTATGTATATTATGGTATCAAAAAGGACACTATGGCTTCTTTTTTTATCCTGACTATCTACCCTTAATTTCCTTTTTTTGTTTTAATAATTTAGTGCTTCAGGTACTATGTTAAAAGACTGGATATACTTGAGATCTTTTGGCTAAATGTCTAGAAGTGGTATACCTGGATCATGAAGTAGTACTATTCCTTATTGTCTGATAAAATGCAAAATTGATTTCCAAAGTGGTTATACAAGCTTACAATCCCACAGCAATGGAGGAGTGTTCCCCTTTATCCACATCCTATCTAGGATGTGCTGTCACTTGAGCTGATCTTAGCTATTCTGATGGGTGTAAAGTGAAGTCTGAAGTCTCAGGGTTGTTTTGATTTGCATTTCCCTGATAAGTAAAGATATTGAGAATTTCTTTGTTTCTCTGCCAATTGATATTTCTCTATTGAGAATTCTCCGTTTAGCTCTGTACAATTTTTTAATTGGATTGCTTGATTTGTTGCTGTTTAACTTCTTGAGTTCTTCATATATTCTGAATATTAGCTTCTTTCAGATACCGGGTTGGTGAAGAACCTTTTCGAACAAATAGGCTGTTGTTTTGTTCCAATGAGAGTGTCCTTTGCTTTACAGAAACATTTCAGTTTCATGAGGTCCCATTTATTGATTGTTGATCTTGGAGCCTGTGTTGTTGGTGTTCTGTTTAGGAAATTGTCTTCTCTGTCTTTTTCTTCTAACAGGTTTAGGATCTGTTTTTTCTTGAGGTTTTTGATCCACTTGGACTTTAGATATGTGCAGAGTGATGAGTATGGATCTATTTGTATTTTTCTACATGTAGACATCCAGTTAGACCAGCACCATTTGTTGAAGATGTTATCTTGTTTCCACTGACGGTTTTGGCTTTTTTGTCAAAAATCAAGTATCTATAGGTGTATGTGTTTATTTCTGGGTCTTCTACTAGATTCCATTGATCCACCATTCTCTTTCTATGCCAGTACCACGCAGTTTTTATTACTGTTGCTTTATAGCACAGTTTGAGACAACAAGGACATTTGTTCAAACATGTCTGGATCAGCTTAATTTGTAATAGCCAGAAGCTGGAAACAACCCAGATATCCCACAATAGAGGAATAGATACAAAAATTGTGGTACATATACATAATGGTATACTACACAGCAAGTAAAAACAAGGAAATCATAATATTTGCAGGCAAATGTTGGCAACTAGAAAAGATCATCCTGAGTGATCTATCCCAGAAACAGAAAGACATGCATGGTATAAGCAGATATTAGACATATAATGTAAAATAATCATACTAAAATCTGTAAACCTAAAGAAGTTAAGCAAGAAGGAGGACCCTGGGTAAGATGCTCAATCTTCATTCAGCAAAGCAAATGAGATAGACATCAGAAGAAGCTGAAAATAAGGAACAAGACAAGAGCCTACCACATCGGGCCTCTGAAAGACTCTACCCAGCAGGGTTTTAAGGCAGAACTGAGACTCATAGCCAAACTTTGGGCAGAGTACAGGGAATCATATGGAAGAAGGGGAAGACAGACTTGGAAGGGTCTGGAGCAACATAAGGAGAAACACAGAACCAACAAATCTGGGCCTAGGGGGTCTTTTCTGTGACTGATACTCCAACCAGGGACCAATCACAGAGATTACCTGGGCCCTCTGCACAGAAGTAGTCTGTGGCAGCTCAGTCTCCAAATGGACTCCCCAATAAGGGGAGCAGGGACTGTCTCTGACCTGAACTCAGTGGCTGGCACTTTGATCACATTGCCCTAAGAGGGGAGCCACCTGAGCAGGCAACAGAGGAAGACTATGAAAGACAATCCTGAGACCTGATAGACAAGGGTCCTATGGAAGGGGAGGAGGTCCTCCACTATCAGTGGATGGGGAAAGGAAATGGGAGGAGATGATGGAAGGAGGGAGTGCAGGAATGGGAGGGAATGGGGTTGGGGCTACAGCTGGGATACAAAATGAATAAATTATAATAAATAAAAATTATATTTAAAATTAGATATAGTAGGCAGCTCTATCTCATTTGTGTTTTTAATGGGATAACTTTAAGTTTTTCTCAATTTTGGATACTGGTTGTGGTTTTGCCACATGTAGCCTTTATTATGTTGATATATGTTCCCTCCAGGTCTACACTCTCCAGGACTTTCATCATGAATGTATATTTGATTTTGTCTGCATCTATTCAGATGATCATGTGAGTTTTGTCTCTAAGTCCATTCTTATATGCATTAATACATGTATGAGCTAACATATTTTGCATCAACTCTGCATTTCTGGGAAAAAGGTAACTACTTGGGGCTTGTAAGATCATGGATTTTACTTTATTTTTCAGTTTTTGATTTTTGGAAACATTGTTTATGGCTTTCTTGGAACTTGCTTTCTATGGTACCCTGTTGTTGAAAAAAAATTGGTGTCAGGCTAAATAATGTTAATTGTTTGCCCTTTGATTATCATGGCTGCATTATTTAACCGACTATCACAATCAATATGGCATAGACAATATTAGATTTTATAAATTCCTTATTTAACTTGTGTTGGTCAGATATTTCACCTGTGCTATCTCATAACATTCCCATCCACCTCCTAATCCGCATCCAATGCCATCCACCTTACCTATTCCTACCTCGGCTACCCTTTATCCATAATCTTGTAAACACTTGCTTATATTTCTTCATCTTGGTGTTTTCTTCATCCATGCCATCCTCGTCCTTCCTTTTGGCCCATGTAGTCCCTTCTCCAGGCTAATCCATTGTGGTCTTCTCTCTTCCAGTATTCATGCTTGTTTCCTGTGATTCTCCTGAACCTAAAGCCTGGGAACCTTAGCCACCCTTACCCCATCCTGCCCTGTCCAGGTTTCAAGCCTTTTAACCAACCTGTCAGAAATAATGTCTTAGGCAGCTTTGCACAACTAGATAAGACAGTAACCAGATCTTGAGGCTCAGTAATAAACATCAAAATATTAGCATCTGATCAACCCCCAAGTGCAGACTGACCTTCAATTCAGAGATTGGATTCTCTGCCTCTGGAATTCTAGATTAAAGTCATGTGACATCATGCCCAGCAAGGTCTTTATATTTGTTTTTATTTTTATTGGGGGGATAAGAACCTAGTACCGCCAATGTAATGCAAGAGAATAATTCCTACCTGCATTTAAATAGATTCTTATGCCACATATAATTGTAGCTGTTAGCAGTCATCAAAGGAAATTCTCTTCATAACAAATAGAGATTCTTAAAGAAAAGTCTAAATCCTGTACAACAGCTCATCTGGAGGTATCTCCATCCCCAATCTCAAGTTGTACTACAGAGCAATAGTAATAAAAACTACATGGTATTGGCATAAAAACAGAAAGGAGGATCAATGGAACCGCATAGAAGACCCAGAAATACACCCACACACCTATGAATACTCGATTTTTGACAAAGAGGCCAAAACCATTCAATGGAAAAAAGACAGCATCTTCAACAAATGGTGCTGGTCCAACTGGATGTCTACATGCAGAAAAATGAAAATAGATCCATATTTAACACCCTGCACAAAACTAAAGTCTAAGTGGATCAAAGACCTCAACATAAAACCAGATACTCTAAATCTGTTAGAAGAAAAAGTGGGGAACAGCCTAGAACTCATTGGCACAGTAGACAGCTTCATGAACAGAACACCAACAGCACAGGCTCTAAGAGCAACAATCAATAAATGGGACCTCATGAAATTGAAAAGCTTCTGTAAAGCAAAGGACACTCATCAAAACAAAACGCCTGCCTACAGATTGGGAAAGAATCTTCACTAAACCTTTATCTGACAGAGGACTAATATCCAGCATATACAAAGAACTAAAGAAGCTGAAAAGCAGCAAACCAAGTAATCCAATTAAAAAATGGGGAACAGAGCTAAACAGAGAATTCTCGACAGAGGAATATCGAATGGCAGAGAAACACTTAAAGAAATGCTCAACCTCATTAGCCATCAGGGAAATGCAAATCAAAATGACCCTGAGATATCACCTTACACCCATCAGAATGGCCAAGATGAAAAACTCAAGTGACAACACATGCTGGAGAGGTTGTGGAGAAAGGGGAACCCTTCTCCACTGCTGGTGGGAATGTAAACTGGTACAACCACTCTGGAAATCTATCTGGCGCTTTCTAAGACAATTAGGAATAGTGCTTCCTCAAGACCCAGCTATACCACTGCTAGGTATTTACCCAAACTTTGCTCAAGTACACAAAAGGGATACTTGCTCAACCATGTTTATAGCAGCTTTATTTGTAATAGCCAGAACATGCAAACAACCCAGATGTCCATCAACGGAGGAATGGGTACAGAAATTGTGGCATTTTTACGCAATGGAATACTAGCCAGCAATCAAAAAGGAGGAAATCATGAAATTTGCAGGCAAATGGTGG